GAGGCTTCTTTTAGCTGCCCTCGCATGTCGTCCCTCATGTGAAGCCCAGAATCTTTCCCTACAAAGAAAGGATTTATTGAAAGAAAAAAAAACACACACACACACAGACACACAACATTGTTTAGCTGCAGGGCAGGAGCAAATTGCTTCCATTCATAAGTGTGGCAATTGTATTCAAGAGAAATTGATATGTGTGTGTATATATATATATATTTATTTACAGACGTTCACTGACAAGCAGGCAACAATTTAGTGGATTTCTGTAGCATAAAAACACCCAAACTTGATACAATGGCCTTTTGATAGGATTGCAATGTGGGCTGTCACATGCTTCAGACATGTGACTGCTTGAACTTGGAACAACAGTTTAAACAGAAGTCAGCAGAGCTACAAAAATCATTGTGGATTTATCCACTACAACTGTTTTAAACTAAACTAAACCTGTGGACCTCAAACACTGTAAAAGCATTACTTTTTTCCAGTCTGTGGCTTTTTAATTCGCTCTTTCTATGGAAATGCCTGGACGTGCTGAGGACGTGAGCCTCATGACTCAGTATTGCACTTTTAAATCCTCATCACTAGATACCTCTGACATTATAACAGAGGTGATTCACTTCAAATGAACTTTGCTTACTTACTTTCAGCCTCCCTTTGACATTTTGACACAGTAGTTAGCTGCATTTTGAGCTCACAAACGTTATCCGGACATTATGTGGTGTTTTTGCTCTAATAAGTCAATAATGTAAAAAAAAAATGAAAAATGCACCATCACTGTACGGTACCTTTTTTAACCCTGATACTACTGACATCACTGTCATCGTCCCTTTTTCTGCAGCTGACTTCAAACATGTTGACCGACACGGTGGCTCGAATCTCCTGCTGGGCCAAACGCATGCGGTCGTAGAAAACCTTGAAGAACCTCTCGGACTTTTTCTGCTTGTTCAGTTGGCTGTAGAATGAGTTCTAGTTGGGAGCAAAAATGGCCATGAGTATACTTCTAAAACATGTGGAGGAGAAGTACAGGATTCGTGTATCTGTGAAGCCAACCTGTATCTGTGTGTTTCCACCCCTGAGAAGGGCAATGCCCAGCTCGATGCTCTCCTTAAACAGTCGATCATTCTTGGTGTTGACGATGAGTTCAATTACCATCTCTGTTGCCCCAACATTGTCCAAAAGACACTGAATATCCGAAACACTGGTGGCTGGCTTGTCAGCGTCTACCATGGGAGAACCTCCTGCAATGATGTAGAAATTTAAATTCTAGCTTCTGCTTCTCATGCTTTTTCTGAGTTAGTCTCATTTATGTTGCCTGGTTATTTTTGTGCTGCTGCTCTCCCTGCCTCTGGCGTTCCATGCATGCACATACCATATATAAATAATTGTAGATAGAAATAATGTCTTTTTGAGAAATTGAACAGGAAAAACTTTACAAATGTTAGATTATTTGTTATGCTCATCTACTATATTTCACACCTGCCTGGACCGAATATTTATGGGATGCATTATAAACCTCTTATGTCTGCCAACAATTGTCAAACAGCATACTGCCTAAGAAACAGAGCGCTGTCATTTTAGTTCCTGTTGTTTCCTTGGCTGTGAGTAGTTATTGCAGCATCTATTCGGTTTATTTGGGGTTCTCGGTACCTCCAGGTGACTGCTTGACAAAGCCACCAGATGAGCTGTTTCCACTCCCGAGCTCTGACTTGGAGAGAAGCTTTTGATTTCCAAAGTAGCGTGTGAGGAGAATCTTTCTCAAGTCGTTTCCCTGTGGAGACAGAAATCATAATGTTAAATCCATTTAAAAGTCTGATTGAGTATGAGCTTTAAACTAGGAAATTCACACATATTTAATAGATTTTGATAAAGCTTTTTTTCCCCTTTACAGAAAGGGAAAGAGGAATAACTATAAAAATGATCAAAATGAAGGACAAATCTTAAGAAGGGAACATTGGTGGTAAGGTGCATTCATTGGCATGAAATCCATCCGATCATCTCTCAGAGGGCTGAGCAGATTTCATCTCATTTCACCTAATAGGAATCATCGCCATCATCCCATGACACATTTCTGCCTTGATGGAAGCAGTGGTTTGCAGGATGACAATGCTCTTATCAACAAAGAAATTGGAGCTTGAGAGAGCATGATGGTTACAATGTTGTCCAATATCTTGATCCTATCTGAGCATTTATGAGAGATTCCGAGATAGCAGCCAGGGTGTGTTTAGAGAAAAGCAACTATAAATGATGACAGATGTTACTTTTATTTTTAGTTAATATTAGTCGGCAATGAAAGTCTCCAAACAGTTCAATTTTTAAACTGACATGATGAACCGCTGATCTTACCCCAAACTATTTGGGATGAGGCTAGTTTTCCCTCTCTTATTGTGCAAAATAGGACCACACTGTGCTTCTTACACACACACACACACACACACACACACACACACAAGCATGCACGTGAAAACAAGTGGAAAAAGGTTTTACAGAATGTGGTCATTTGCGTGCAAGGATTACTGATGCATATGTATAAAGTAATACATTGCACAACACCAGCTTGCCTCGCCTCTAGCAGCTCATTTATTGAATAACTGCATTTATTTTCTTTCGAATAAACATCTCTCCGTGTCTGCGACATTTGACGCAGATGAGCAGAAATGAGATTAAAAGATTCACGGCGACAATCGCCCTTCAGTGGTTGTGTAATCAAAGTGTGTGATTGGCAGGTGGATGACTTGCATTGTACATTTCACCACCTATTTTTAAAGAACAACAGGGAGAGCGATGGATGGATGAAAAGAAGGAAGTAAGAAGGGAAGATAAAGTATGTATGAACACTACATGTGGTCAGCACCTGTTTCTATGGTAATCCAACAACGCATCAAGGCCTTGTTTGATGACACCTTACCACTGGTATTGATCAAAAGACTTCAAGAAGAGATGGGTAAGGGGTGGAGTTAAAATGAATGGGCTGTAAGCAGCCATGTATGGTTTCCATGGAAACGTGTTAGCAGGCTAGCAGAAAGGCAGGTGCCTGTCAAAATAACAACTGAATACACTTGATGTGTTACACTCTGCTTGTGCCAGGTTAGACCCCCCTTTTGCCATCAGAACTCCTAATTTTTCATGCTAGACATTCAGCAGGGTGCTGGAAACATTGTCATCATGATACAACTCTCCCGTTCCTCCAAGGCTCCACAGGCTCCTAGCACAACCTAGGTCTCGAATGAAGTCGAGAGGTGACCGGGCCTTTGCATCCGTGGCACCTAGACTCTGGAATAACCTCCCTGTTCATATTCGTACTGCCGAGTCTATCCAGTCTTTTAAATCACGTCTTAAAAATTGTTTGTTG